TTATGTACGACATCATGTCATCTGCAAACAGTGGCAGTTTAACTTCTTTACCAATCTGGATGACTTTTATTTTTTTGTGTTGTCTGAATGCCATGGCTAGGACCTCTTGTACTATGTTGAATCAACGTGATGAGAGTGGGCATCCTTGTCTTGTTCCCGATCTTAGGAGAAAAGCTTTCAGCTTTTTGCTGTTAAATACTATGTTGTCTCTGGGTTTGTTGTATATAGTCTTTCTTATGTTGAGGTACTTGTCCTTTATACCCATTTTGTTGAGAGTTTTTATCATGAATGGATGTTGAATTTTGTCAAATGCTTTTTCAGCATCTATAGGGATGATCATGTTTTTTTTGTCCTTTTTGTTGAAGTGATTTATGATGTTGATGGATTCTCAAATATTCTACCATCCTTGCATCCCTGAGATGAATTGCATTGATCATGATGGATGATCATTTTGGTGTATTTTTTTATTTGGTTTGTTAATATTTTGTTGAGGATTTTTGCATCTATCTTCAACAGGGATATTGGTCTATAATTTCCTTTGTTTGTGGTGCCTTTGCTGAGATTTGGTATAAGAGTGATGCTGGCCACATAGAATGAGTTTGAAAGTATTCCCTCCTCTTCTACTTTTTGGAAAACTTAAAGGAGAATGGGTATTAGGTCTTCCCCAAATGTTTGATAAAACTGAGTGGTGAAGCCATCTGTTCCAGGGATTTTCTTCTTAGGTAGTTTTTTGATTACCAATTCAATTTTGTTGCTGGTAATTGGTCTGTTGAGATTTTCTGTTTATTTCTGTGTCTGTCTTGGAAGATTGTGTTTTTCTAGAAAGTTGTCCATTTCTTCTAGATTATCCAATTTGTTAGCATATAATTTTTAATCATATTCTCTAGTAATTCTTTGTATTTCTTTGGTGTCTGTAGTGATTTTTCCTTTCTCATATATGATTCTGTTTTTGTGTGCACACTCTCTTTTTTCTTGATAATTCTGGCTAGTGGTTTTTCTATTTTATTTTCTTGAAGAACCAGCTCCTGGTTTCACTGATTCTTTCTATTGTTTTATTCCCAATTTTATTTATTTCTTCTCTGATCTTTATTATGTCCCTTCTACTGCCTTTGGGCCTCCTTTGTTCTTCTTTTTCTAGTTTTATTAGCTGTGAGTTTAGACTGTTCATTTGGGATTGTTCTTCTTGAGGTAAGCCTGTATTGACTACAATGTACTTTCCTTTTAGAACTGCCTTTGCGGCATCCCACAGGTTTTGGGTTGTTGAGTTGTTGTTGTCATTTGTCTCCATATATTCCTTGATATCTGTTTTTTTATTTGGTCATTGATCCATTGATTATTTAGGAGCATGTTGTCAAGCCTCATGTGTTTATGGGCATTTTTGCAAAGGGGAAATTTTTAAGAAATATCTTTCAGTAATAAGTGCTAAAGAGATTAATAATTCATGTTAGAGGTCACACCTCTAGTAGACTATGCATATATATCTTTCATTTTTCTTTATGCTCTTTTCTTATCATCTGGAATAGTGGTTCAAGGATTATAAGGACCTCTTTTAAAAATATAGAAATGTGTTTTTATATTCTTACATGATCATAGTATTTTTCTTTTTACTATCCTTTTATTCAAATGTTATGAAATGATAATGTGCTAATATAATTGAGTAGTACTTCTAAATATATTTTCATTTTATTTATCACACTTCCATGTATACATATTTGAAAAGTAGTTTATCTCAGGATGAGATAAAAACTATTTGGAGTTTAGACATAGTTAGTATGTACATACTTGCCATATCTCCTTGACCTTCTCTATTGGTTCATGGAATTTGTTATTAGCAACAAATACTATGTGTAATTTTCATTTCTTTTTTTTTTCCTTTTTTCATCCTCTTTTTCTTTCTTTCCTTTTTTTTCATTATCCAGTTTTTGGTCTTTCTCTTGTCATCAGTACATTGCTACTGTATATCTCTTGAGAAATTATTTTGCTGATCCTTTCTCTGAAATTGGCTGAAGAAGAAATACCTATCTGGATATCCTACAGTGATCATAAAGTTCTCTATGAACTGATGAGTAACTAACTATTGAATAATTGAGATGATTTTATCACTATAAAATTTGTTCTGCATACAATGAGCTAAATAACTTTATCTTTTACCCTGAATTTTTCATAGAGGTTTTTGTTTAGTTCACCCTCTCTGTATTATTAATTTATGAATACTCTATATTATTTGTTAGCTTTAACTTTTAACAGATATAGACCCAGCATCTGTTTGTAAGACTTGATATCAATTTTATGATATTTTCCTTGGTTTTAAATCAACACTTGATTAATTTTTACATTATTGAAGGAACAATTCTGACAAGTAAGGACTACATATTTTAAACATGTTTTGAAATATTATAACATGAAATCCTGGGATTTGTTAGAGAGGAATTCCATTAAATGAGGATAGTTTATTAAGAACACAACACAGTATTAAAATTATAAAAAATTACATTTTTCTGAGTAATGTGTTTCACATTTTCACATTTCTTTTTATTGGTTTATAATTTCTTAAAATTATACAAAATTTCACTATGATTATTTATGAAATAATTCCATTTGACAGCTATCTTAATATGATAGAACAGTATTGCTCAAAGAAATATTATTTGCTCAGATTTCTTACTCTGCAAAAAAATAAACCAAATGGATATTTCCTATTTTAAAGAAAGGGATATTTCCTTTTTCTGAAGATAAGGAACATAGTAATGTTCACATTCTCCTCTTCCTCACCTATCTCTATTTCTATTCTTTCATCTTTGAAATAATAAAATCTCAATAGAATTGACCACCATGGTTTCTAAATGAAAGCCTGGAGTTATAAATACCTCCCCATCCTCCCCCAAATCCATTAATGTCATATCCTTTCTTCCAGAAGTTAGCCCCTCCTTGGTGTCTTTGTTCCCTTTTTCTGATTCACCAGTATGTGGCACGGGCGTCTTCTCCCCTTTCAGCATGACCTCCGGCTGTTATTGCTGCTGAAAATTGGCTAATCTTTCTTTTCAGCAAAGGTTTCAACTGTGTTGTGCTGTGACAGGGTTTTCAGTTCTTTTTCTTGGCCTTTATCTAACCTGTGTGCATACCAAAGTCATCTCTTTTCTAAAGTCTTCCCATCATTCATGGGTACTTTTCCAGTCATTCTCTTCAGGACTTTGTCTCAATCTTTTTCTTCTTCCTTATGCTTTGTTTCTGTAATTATTATTTTTCTTTCAGTCTTTTTTGTATCTCTCTACCAAAGTAATGTGATTTAAACATTCTTTTGATTATGTCATTTCTCTTTCCCAAATTTCAAGTTTCTTAACGTTCTCTACCAAATTTGGTAAATTCATTATAGGGCTTTCAAGACCTTCTATAATCTAGTACTATTCTCCATTTTGCCGTATAGTTTCTACATATTAGGATAAATGTATAAAGTAACAGGTATACTCCTGAGTTTTCTACAATTTAGTAATTCTGTATTACTGATGAGCATAAAATACTATGGAAACACAGGGAATGGTGTCAATACATTCTGTATGAAGGAATTAAGGAAAGCTTGTTTTTGATAGGTTGCTATGTCATATTTGATTAAGACTAGAAAAATTGACTTGGAAAGATGGTTTGCCAAATTAATTCCCATTGGTATAATTAGCTGTAGTTTATGGCAGTAATGGATATGATTTAGGATTTTTGTGTTCCTTTCCACTTCCAGGTCAGAAAATTTTAAGACCTATATTAACTTCTAAAATACAGATCTGTTAATTAGTTCTTAGTTTTCCTCAAGACCTAGGATAATTATATTATAACAGCGAAGTAGATGCTTATCAAATGTTTATATATCTAAATAATATTGTTTCCATCTGCAGAAGTCATTATATTTTGATAAAAGCCTTTCTAGTAGTCTTTTAGCTCTTGCATACTTAAAAAAATATTGACACCTTTCAGAAACCTCTGAAATGATGCAACTGATGGAAAATATTTTTTATGTTTTAATTGATGATTAACACCAAGATCGTGCTTGCCATATTCCCAAGGCAATCAAAAAGAGCCAATTATATCTTTAATTATTAAGTTAATGTATTCATTAATTATCAGAGGTGGTGAAATCTAATACGAGAAAAGCATGCTTGGCCCCAGAAGTGAAATGGACTCACAGAGCCATGACGAATCTGTTTCCTACTTGACTTAAAGTGGGGGACCCTTGGCATCTCTGAGATTCTGTCTGACTCAGTGTATTACTGGTGGTCTGTGCCAGTGGCTCATGTTTTCCCATCCGCTCTCAAAACAAGAAGGGAGAAAGAGACAAAGAGGAAACAATGGGAGCATGGGCAAGTGGGAAAAGACAGAAGATAAATTATTCTAATTATCTTTGGGATTTTACAATTATATGACTTAAATTTATATAAAACTAGTTAGCTTTCTATGTGCAGTTAATATTACATATAGCAGAATTTTGTTCTTTCCTTGAAAAACTGGGATTATTTGCTTCCCCTGAAATAATCAGGAATATTCTCTACTTTGTCTTTTCTATTATATTTTCTAAAGTTGAGAACATTATCAGAAAATTTCTTTATATGTTCTCTTCTTCTGATTTGGTTGTTCATGGGTAAAATTCAGCTCTGTAGCTGTCTAAAATAAAGATGAAAAATGAAATAACTTTCTGTAATCAGAGAGCTCTGTGGCTTCTTCAGAGATACTACAGAATGTTTTAAACATATTTAAAACAGATGCAGACTGTGGTTTTACACCTTGGTTTAAATTTCTATTTTTCTTAGGTGCTATGTGTATATAAACATTCTCAATCACATTCAGTAGTCCTTTCATAAAAAGTATGTATGTGTTATTCCTTCTACTCTTTGGGCTTTAAAGGGACCTGATGAACATTTAGAAGTTACTGGAGAGGGATTTCATAAAAGAGTAGTGATTTCAGAACATTTCACAGGAGTGAAAAGCAACTTTGACTCCTGTTTCTGTTTCTGTAGGTATCTTCTCAGTACTCAGCTTGGCCTCCGAGTGCACAACCCTTGCTGCAGAACTTCCCAAAGTGTCCTACGTGAAGGCTCTTGACGTGTGGCTCATTGCGTGTCTTCTCTTTGGGTTTGCTTCTCTGGTGGAGTACGCTGTCGTCCAGGTGATGCTGAATAACCCCAAACGAGTCGAAGCAGAAAAAGCCAGAATTGCTAAGGCTGAGCAAGCAGATGGAAAAGGTGGAAATGCAGCTAAAAAGAATACTGTGAATGGTACAGGGACTCCTGTTCACATCAGCACTTTGCAGGTGAGAATGAAATTATCCAGTGAAAAGATTTCCCTCAGCCTCTACAGTGTCAGGCGAGATGCCATAATGTGGCTGTAAAGGTTTGATAGGATTGGTATTCATTCATTTTTCTTTCGCAGATGAAAAAGAACTGAGCACAACATACTTTTTGGAAAATACACCGAAAACACTTAGGTCAAAGACTAATCAGGAAAAAAGTCAATACCTTACCAAATCTCCGAAGACTTTCCATGGAATTAAGGATATACCTTTGCTTTGATGGTTACCATTGAATGTGTAGAGCTTACCAGAACTGCAGACGTAACCCCTGTTTCTCATTTGATAAGCTTTATGAAAGGCTGGAAGGCTGTTGGGGGCACTGACCTTCTGCCAATTCAGAAGGCTTAAGGGCATCCATGTTCACGGTTAAATCTCTTCTGACCTCTTCTCCATCAAGTTAGCTTTATATAGAACATGTCAGACAGTCTACTTATTTATTGGGTGCCCAGCCCATAGGGAAATTGTGTCCATAGTTTGGGATCTTTCCAGGTCAGTAGTGAGTAGCTGGAGAACTGGACAAGGTTGAACCCCTTCACCTTGCCCTTCCCCTTGTCGTGGGTCTGAGAGTACTGGGCACTGCCTCTAGATCCAGGTGCTGATAAATCCTGAAACAACCTGCTGCTGCATGGATTAAGGAAAGCTGTCCACTTACTCAAAGTGCCCCTGATTTCCACTTGGTTTAGCATGGTAGTTCCACAGTCTGTTTCTGCTGGGTTGGGGGTAGGAGTCCATGCTGCCCGCCCAGTCTCCACTGACCCAGTGGCAGGGAATGGGCCTTGTTGCTGGTCCTTGGAGATGGAAGTCCCAGCTCCCTACTTGAGCTTCTCTGATACCACTTCAGTGGGAGTGTTGGGCCCTTCATTACAGCCTCTTGAGACATAGTTCTCCACTCAACCATTGCTGGCATGGCTGAGATGGGGTCACAAATTTTTTCCGTTGTGTATGGCTGGAGTAGAGAAGTTGCTGTCTAAAAGTTTTCTATCTTGCTAAGCTGCCCCTTTCTTTGTCCTTAGGCTAAAGGGATCATCAGGCTTCTTTTAGGGCCAGTTCTGTCTGCACCCACTGGCATTTTCAGTTTCAGCTTCTTCAGCTCCAAATCTGGGACATATGAGGCAAAAAGAAAACAAGACCTCAGCACCATGCCATTGCTCAACTCCCAAGGTCCCCAGCTGATCTCAGCCTTTTCTCTACCTTTCACAATCTTTTTTGTTTTATATAATGTCCAGGATGTGTCTACTCCATCTTGCTGGGAGTCCCCCTATATTATTTTCGAGTCCCTCACAACCTCATTGTATGTGCGTCATGCTACCACACTCTGGTGATTAAATAGACATATCCATAGGCTACTTGTAACACCTTGATTAATATTGCAACTGCTGCCTACTAGGCCACTTCAGACTGACTGCCTTCCTGCACCAGGAACACAACTTTTCAGGGAAATTATTATTCTCAACCCCATACTTTACTTTCCTCTCTGTTACATCCAAAACTTCCAAATAATACCTAGAAATGTTAACAGTGCTCAAGGACATGCTTCAGTATATCAGAGAACCAGTGACTGAAGCATATTAGCTTTTTGTGAGAAACTGGTCTTCCTTCTTAGGCATGAACTTATTTCTCCACACCAGAAATGGAAGGAAGAGTAGTTGGTACACTTACACTATATGGAGCTGTTCATGCCTTGAATTTTGACTCCAACTACAATCACTCCATTTACATCTCCCTCGTTACCAGCTCACTAATCCCCTGACTCACTAAGTTACGAGATGTGGAGACAGAAAGCAAAGATGTTCTATAGAATAGGTGTTTGATTTCCATTAGTACCAAAATGAGCTCCATTTTCGGGAGCCTCAATAAGTACAGAAATTCCCTAGTAACAGAGAACACCAATGTGTAAATGGTCTTGGAATCTTAGTATATTCCAAGAAGTGGTGTATTGATGGAGGGGAAGGGGACTCACTAGAATCAGATTTTCAGAGTACTGTAGAACATGTCAAGATTATCTGTGAACATAGACATAAAGGATAAGTAGGAACAGTGGAAATCTTAGTAGCTACAATTGGAAGCATTAGAAAGTTTTTATCTGCATCCTTTGTTATTCTTGACAGTTTCATTATCATACAACCTCATTTTTGCTCCCAGTAATTTTCAGAAGTGACAGGTTTATATGATGAAAGTAATGAGATACATTCCTATGAGGAAAAAATTGAGAAATTATGAAGTAGAGGTTAATATAACCAAGATCACTTCTAAGAATATGTTAAGTACAGCTTTATTGATAAGCCATTTATAGCTTCATTTATAAGCTGTATCCCTCCCTCTTTGTGTGATATTATAATTGTTTAAAATAGTATTTATATTGTAAACTCTTGTACTTTTATATAAATGTTTGACATGATAATTATGTGTAGGTAATAATAACTAAAAAAGAAAGTTATGTTTTTGTGAAATCACTGATGAATGGGAGAAGGTGAGACCAGCCAACTAGTTAATGAATCATGAGCTATTTCAGGAGCCTGAGGACATCTCAGGAGGGAACCTAATTTTATTCAGTTTTGTCACATCCTAAAAAATTACTTCTGTGGTAGAGGGTCTCTCTACTAATTCTCACACATTCACACGGACTCCCACACATGCACATAACTGTACTCACTTTATATATAAGCATCTTCAATACATTTATGGAAGACTTCTTAATAAATTAAATGATTAAAAATTTAGTATAACTATATTGAAACTTTATGGAGTGCTTTTCCATGTTATTACTTTAATACTGAAGAAATTTTTACTGACATGTTTACTACATTTAATAATCTCTCTGAATAAACATAAGATTCTATCTCTACATTTTTAATACATTGAATAAAACCATGCCTTAATCTTTTACTTTGTGAAAAAGTAAAGATCGCTGAGCAGTCATGCTTCTCGTCTATTGGCAGAAGCTAATGTGTACCTTTGTTTTGGTAAGTGGATCTGAAGCAGAGTCAGTACATCTAAAGCTTTTGTAATAGAGAGTTCTGAAGAGAAAAAGAAAGACTGGGGTACCCCCAGAGGCCCACATTTCCAAGACCACTCCGAGAGTCTGAGAGTGATGCAGAGATCTGAAATGTGGAGTGTGTTCTCAGCTTCTTCCCCCATCGCGGTGGTGACTGTGATTCACTCTTTACCGAAGCTCCCTGACACATACTGAGACCTGCACATTCTGCAGCCAGCCTGGGAAACTGGAGCCTTCAATGCGGTCTTCTGTTTGATTCACTTTATAGGGAGTATGGGTGCGTGTGATTGGATGTTTGTGTGTGTGTGTATGTGTGGTGACGGAGCTTGGATGACAGACTGCTCACTGAAAATGGCCTTTGTGAAATTTTAAATTAGAGAATTTAAATGGACGATCTGGAAATAAATTATATATTCACATGAACGCTTTCCCAAAGTCACATTTAAATAATTTAGATGTAGTTGCTACCTTTATTCTCTCTTGTATTTCATTGATCAGTCCCTATTTTTTGCCAGACATATTCATAGACACAGTGTATAAATCAATATGAACAAAACCCTGAACCTGTGGTGATTTACCTCATCAAGACATAATTCTTTTAAGCTAGGCTGAGCTCTCCCATTGGTAAATTTTAACTGCACATTTGTGGGAATCCTCTTTCTGTAGGTTGGCCTCTGTTAGCAAAAACAAAATCCTATCCAAGATGGAATTATTTCCACTTTGGCTATTTTATGACATTCTACAAACAGATTAATATCATTTTTTTTAAGTATGAAACCTTTAGAAGGGTGAACTTCTAGCGCCATTATCCCCATTCCTACTTGTTAATATTTTCTTGTGTATTTTTGTACAATTATATGTACATAAATGTCTTTTTCAAAAATTTTTGCCAATGTACAAATATCTATGTGGTATAAAGTATATAATAATAAAGCCAACTTGTACAGCAGCTCAAAAAATAGCATTACCAGTAGTTCATAATTTTTTTTAAAAAGTAGAAACAACTTAAAGTATAATGACAGAGAATGTATAAATACAGTTTAACTTGTTTTTTCACTCAGCATATCTTGGTTATCTTTGCTTTCTACTTTTGGACACTGATATCTGGCATTTGCCCAGAAAATATATCTCAGTGTTTGTTTAGATAAAGGGTAGTGTCCTGGTACCTGCAGTACTGCTGGGGAATAATTTACTTTACTTTTTACATTAAGTATAATTTTTGCCCAGCCATAATCTAGTAAATGTAAATAGACTGCACATAATTAGTCAAGACACTATACTAACAAAGCAAACACTAGAGTAATTATATTGTACTACCAATATACAATGACATAGGTTCCATTATCATTAAAAAACTGTAAATATCAATAGTGAAGTTTCCAAAAGTGAATCACAGAACTCCGGAGTAGGACACTAGAAACTGAAGCAACAAAATCAATGGCTCACCTTCCGTGGTCTTTTGTGACATCAGTGGTACTTAAAACATTCGGGTAGCTTATATCTCTGATTGCTAAAGAGAGTTCAGTCTGAAATAACTATTTTGTGTATTTTAGGGAATTGATTCGAATTTGGTAATTCAGAGATTAGCAACTGAATAGTCTCTGTAAGCATGTTATCTTGCTGAAATATAGATAGTTTCTTTGGATTCTCGGAGTGTGGTTGGCTAATTCAACTTTAGTCCGTAAGTTAGGAATGCCCATCACTAGTAAATACTTGGTTCATGATAATTGTGGCCATCTTTTAGTTCTTATTTGTGAGTGTGACTCAGAGACGCAGTCTGTCTCCTTGGATGGATCAATGCCTCTGCTCATTTATAACCCATCCTGTTTGGAAACAGGAGCCACAGGGGAGCCAAAGGTTAGAAATACTACAGGACTTCTGTGATCCGCATCACAGTAATATGGTCTGTGTCATAGCTGAATTTGGATTTTTATTTATGGGTCTGTCAACTGAGAACTCTTACAAGCCTGGGAGCATCTAATAAATGATGATTTATGTTTTGATCCCTTAAGATAAAATGACCCATCATTGTAGAGCCCTAAATATTCAGGTAATCTGATGGTTTGATCAATCGACTGTTTGTTTGACAAAAAGAGACCACAAATAATAAACTGATTAAACCATCAGATTTTTGAAATATCCTTTTGAAGAGATGTTTTATAAATAGAAAAATCCTAAATGTATTCTATGTTTAATTTTTATTCTCAAGGTTGGAGAGACCAGATGCAAAAAGGTTTGTACTTCGAAGTCGGATCTGAGGTCTAATGACTTCAGCATCGTCGGAAGCTTGCCGAGAGATTTTGAATTATCTAATTATGACTGCTATGGAAAACCTATCGAGGTCAACAGCGGACTAGGGAAATCTCAGGCGAAGAACAACAAGAAGCCTCCGCCCGCCAAGCCCATTATTCCAACCGCAGCAAAGCGAATTGATCTTTATGCAAGAGCATTGTTTCCTTTCTGCTTCTTATTCTTCAATGTTATATATTGGTCTATATATTTATGATGAATCTTTCCCATTTGTATAAAATAAAATCCCATGTTATTGTGAACAACCTCATTCATAATGCCAATCTGAAAATTTTTGCACTTTCATAGCAATGTATTGCATTTTGGATGCCATTTGATTGTAATAAAAATGTGGCACTTTAATTTTGAATGGCAGCATGATCTTGTATTGTCTCTGCTCTAATAATGATGTATATATGTATAACAAACATACTGCTTTAAGAACAATGAAGGATAAGCATACCACATAAAAGAAAAAATCCAAACCATTATCTTCAGTTAGTGTAAATTGAAAATACTTCAGATAATTCTGATAATAAAATGATGTGCACGCTAAATCCTGTTATGATCACCATTCTAATGTATGTAGTATTTTAAATTTCCTTCCTTGTAACCTTCAGAGAAAGCCATCTTATTCTTGTATAATTTTAGATGGTATTATCACAGATTAAGAAAATTATATTACACATTGTTTAAAGTTTATAAGTAGAAATATATCAGCTATAAATATGTGGACTCTGTGAAGAAATAAAGTTGAAAAAATTGCTAATTTGTAAAATCAGCTCATTCTAAAGTGTGCCTGTGTTGTCAAATGCTGGGTAGTAATATATAGTAAGCATTTTTGAAACAAAGGGAAATCTATATTTACATAAATTCATACTGAATTGTAGATTCTGATAAAAATAAAAGATGAATATATTGATTAAATATTTCTGATAAATTCTATTTAATCCACCTTAAAACCTATATGCATTTTCATGGATTTTATCTTGTGATTACAGAGTATATAAAATCACTGTGCCTTAAAAAGAGCCATAAATATTTTAAATTGGAATATAGTCATAGATATGTTATTTCATATCATTTTTAAGAAACCAAGAGGAAAATACCCTGTTACTAGAAGTAACCTGACTTGGGGAAAAACAATCCATAATTATTAAAGGATTTTAACTTTTTCATTTTACTAAAATACTTACATATTTTTAAGTAAAATTAAGAAATGTTTTTGTGAATTCAATTATTTCTTTTTTTCTTATTTGGATATTTTTAAATTTGTTATGAAACATTTAAGTAAATATTTTTGTTAGGCCTCACTTCCACTTGTATTTTCTTTTTTGCTAAAAGTCTACACTACTTACTTATATTTATTTAGTTTGAACTTATTCCAATCTGAAAATAGGCACTTTCTGGTCTATAAGACTCTCATTTCCTAGTAATATCACAGCCAATGTACCTTTTTATTTCTCCAGAGCTGAAATTAGAACTATCAATAACTCCCATAATATAAACATAAGACCAAATAACTCTGTCTATATTACTTGGAGAATTTTGTTACAGCTGAGAGTTTGTATGGTCAATTCAATAATAAAATGTGTTTAAATAGTGTTCATGCAAATCGCCATATGTAATCAAATGCTATTTTATTGAAGATTTTTATTTTTCAGATTCCCAATGATTACTAAATTTTTTAAAAAATAAGGTGTAATATAATGCTCTGTTGTCCTTCAGCACCCTCTAGTTGCAAAAGCTTAGTCATCTGAATATTTTTAAAATGTGTAAGTAACCCTGTTGATGGGCTGTAATATCCTGCTAGGACAAGGGCAGTCACTTTTTAGTGGAACTTTTGTGGGAAAAAAATGTCTTGAGTAGGACTCAAATCATTTAAAATTTTATTTATAATATACTTGTTTTTAATTTTTTTCTATATTCTTGGAAATTCCATTCATATTAGGAAGTTTGATTTAGACACAAAGTTTTAAGTGGAAAATATACCAACTGGAAGACAGGTCTTGTTATATAAGAATGTTGAAAATAATTTGAATTTCATTCTGTACAGTAATACTCTAGCCTACTAAGATCAATTTTAAAACCCAAATATATATAAATAACTATCCCAGGATTGTGTATATAAAACTTCAAATGGTACATAAGACAGTGGCCGTAACAAAGCAGTAGTACAATCATGTCCACTCCCCTTACTTTATAATGTGACCCTAAAAAGAGCCATAATATTTTAGAGACTCAAGGATTTGGTCACTTAACCCCAGTGTAGTTCTGATGTGTATTCTTTAAATACTGTGTTTCTCTAGGAGACTTGCAGTACAGCTACCTGGATATCAGTATCTCAAATTCAGTGTCTCCAAAATAAAATTTATCTTCTCACAAATCAGTAGGTTATCTTCTATTTCTTTTGACACATCACTATTCCAGTAATCCACATTAATATTTTTTCTGAAATATTTTATGTTGCAGATATGATATCCCTTCCCTTTAGTGTGTTTCCTAAACAAGGACATCCTCTTTTTGTAACCACAGTAAAACCAGGTATTCATATCAAGAAAATAACATTGATAAAATATTATAATCTAGAGAGTTTTTTAAATCTGTACATTGTTCCACCTTTTTTTTTTTTGGTTTGGGATCCAGTCCAGTTTTACATATTTCATTTAATGGTCACAAAGTTAATTTCTTTAAAATAAAGTCTTGATCATGGAATTCTGCTCAAACATCTTTAGTGTCTTGTGTCGTCCTGTGAACTAAGTAAAAAAAAATCCTCTCTCTGACATAAAATTCTCTTATTAAATGTTCAAATCTTTTGCAGCCCTTTCTCACACTACTTCTCTGCTCATCTCTTAAACTTCAACCAAACTGATTTTGAATTTTACTTATTGTGATTAAGCAGTGATTGGTGTGCTAAGTTCAGCCAGATGCCTTTCCTTTTAGACAAGTGGTTACTTTTATGTTTCACTGTTTCTTTTAAGTGGGCCAATCTTGGATGTTGTGTCTTCAAATACTCATTTTAACTAATAAGTTTTTATTCAACACTGTTTTTTAGTCACATGGTTCCATCTGTATTGAATAAAGAAATTAAAATTTTTGTTTCCCATTACATATGTAGTGTGCAAATTTGGATGCTCTAAATCCAACACAATTTATCATCTATATTACTCAGAAATTCAGTAGACATAAAAAGTTGGATGTGAAATTTTTAAAGGCCAATTCCAAGATGAGAAATAGTTTTAATCTTTTTCTATAACCTTAATCAAAGCATTCTTGTTAGGATATTTACCTAGCTTTTGAATAGCAGATTTATTGCAATTATATTTTCAAATTAAATGCTTATGTTTATAATATACCAGTAACTTAACATTCACTGATATTCCTCCCACCCCTGCTCTTTTTTTATGAAGCTAGTCTTAACCTTTTAAGAGGCTAAGGTCAAGTTCTTTTTCTTTCAAAGCATTAACCACATCAGTGGAGTGAAAATTCTTTACAGACTTTCTTGTGATTAATATTAGTGGATAATATGGATGCCATATTCAACATTGGTTATGCTCTTAAAGGGTATATACACTTATATGCATAAACTTGGTATTTTACATTTTAATATATTTTGCATTTTTACTACATAAGTGTACATGCACAGATATATACGCATATATTTTTTTGTTTTGTGCTTAGGAAAAACAATGAGAAAATTCATGAATTCTGTTCTAGTTGGAATTTATTCCAAACAATAAGTTCATTTTCACTCCCTCCCAAAGGCATTTTTAAATTTCTTAAATCTCACATATCACACCCAAAACAGTTATTTCTAAACCCTCTCAGAGTAGAATAGTGAACAAAAAATATGGTAAGTCAGTAAATGCTTATGGGTACTTACTATGTTAAAGGTCTTGTGTTAGCCAAAAACTGTAAAGATGAATAAATTATGTATTCCACTCTTAAATGATAGCCATTGGTGTGAAAAGGAAATAATACTAAATGTATAAATCTCTATAATGCATATTATTAAGAAGCTTAAGGAGAAAATCAAATATTCATCTTAAAGAAAGAGACCCGTCTTAAAGAAAAATAAAAAATACTCCAAAATAACTAAATGCCATTTTATGCTAATAATTTTTCATAAAAATTGTGAATTGTAAAATGCAGAAATATTGCAATAAAAATGTTAAATATCAAAAAACAACTTGAATTCTATTTCCTAGTTAACATTTCCGAGGAAATAATGATCAGTAAAACAAATTTTCCTCAGATGATGATGTAATGGCTGCACTTGATGTTTGTTTCTTAACCAAAACTCCTGTCTGATCTTAATCCTATAACTGGAAACAATTTTCAGTAAATTCTAATTTACAGCCTGAGGCAATTGTAGCTCAACTAATAATCATTCACAATGAAGTGGCCCAAAGGAGCCAGAGCCCTTTTGCAAGTTTAGCAACAATGCAGTCAAACTACAGTCCCTTTCTCAATTACCTCACCAAATACGGATTTTATTAGTCGATTAGCATTGCCCCGCCCTGTGCCATTGATGACACATAACAGAAACCCCATTTTGTGTAATGGTAAACAACATGAAGAGGCAAATGATTCTAGCTTTTGAAAAGCTCAGCTTAGTTTATTGTATGTTCCCATGGGATGGTCTTTCAAGCGTTTATTGGAGTTGGAAATGCAGCAGGTGGAAAATGACGTTTATCAGTCTGCGAACACCCTGTCGGCTTCTTGGAGGACTGCACCTCAGGCCAGAGCGCTGTCAGCAGACTCCTCTTCAGGATATGAATTTGACAGACATTGTATCTGCTTGCTTTACTAACAAATTTAGGCATTTTTAAAATATAAATCTTAGAATCTGCAGGCTTGTCAGCTACAAAGATGATCTTTAACTTATAACTGAGACAATATTGTATGGAACTCATTAAGAGGGAATACCTAATAAATTCTGCCTTGGACTATTATAAAGCCTCTTTCTAAACACAGCTGCACTTTTCTGGTTCATTCATATGTGTACTCAAAAGCCCTTTCATTCAAAAATCACTAGCATTTCCAATCAGTCCACTGATATCTTAGAAGCTTTCAAATTTCTAGATGGACTAATTTAAATGTACAAATAAAAATGTTAAATTTTTTAAGGAATATTTGTGGTACATGCATCATATAAAATTAATCTAAGGGTCTAAATTAAACTGGAGGCTGGTTTACTAAGTACACATATAGGAAGGCAATATAGGGGTAGTAGAAAGATTCTTGGACTGGAGATAATCATACCTGGGTTATAGTTTATTTACAACCCTGCAAACTTTGTCAAAGGATCTACTTCTCAGTTACCCTACTTTTAAAGAGGGAATAAAAATAATTTAAGGATTACCAGATTACAACATGTAAATCTGTCTTTTATCATGGTTGGTTACAAGCAAGGACTTGGAAGCATACAGTCTAGGCTAGAGTCTCACTAATGTAAATCTTGGAAAAATTATTTAGCACCTGTGAGCCTCAGTTTCCCCAGTTACAAAACATGGGAAAGGCTATTAGTGACAACCTTATAACATTATTCTGAGGATGTAAGTTATTAATATATGTAAAGTGCTTAGCAGATTTCCAGGGCATAGTAAGTATACAATAAATTATGGTTATTATTATCTTGTTTTATTTCTTACTACTACTACCAATATGCTGTTTTTAGCACTGAAATTACTTCTAATGAACTTGCAGTTTTTCAAAAGTTCTTTGTTAAAATAATGATATTTTGATAACATGCATATTACTTCTGCCATTTAGGTATTTTAGCATCTGTGATCATTGAGACCAATTTTGAATATAAAATACTGTAAGGATAGGAACAATAGCAGGAACTATAACTTGCAAACTAAAATATTCTTGGAATGTGTAAAGGAGTCATTGTAATATTTACCAGAAGGTCCATAATTTAAAATTAGGTTGTCAATAAAGGAAAGCAATAATGCCA